ATTACTGAAATAAATGAATTTTTCCATGACATTCTAATTTATTGAGATGCACCTGTAGATAGATAGATAACCAACCTCATTGGACAAACTAAATTTAATTTAATTTGAAAAATGATGAAATATTTTTGAACTCTAATAAATATAATTTTTTTTTATTTTCCCCCTATATAAAGATAAGAGAGACAAAGCTTGGTTGAGATGTTTTTATTTAAAACTCATTTAAAAATCAAATATAAAATAGATGTGCAATACAGTTACTTACTGTAAAACAACCACAAGAGAAAAGGAAGATATCCAACAGCTGTCAAAATAGTCAATATGCTAGATAAACATTTGCTTTTTTGTTAGAACAATGGACTATGGAACATTATTTCACCCATATTTGAATATTTGATTTTCACAAAAGATACTGGAAACATTGAAGTAGACACTTTACTTGCATTTAATATGATTTCTATGTATGCTTTTATCACTTTTGTACATTTAATTTGATACAAAATGGGACATCACATCTCGTTTTTTTGACCCAATATATAAGAACTGAAATAATGTGTAAATTACTAATGTGTAGATTAGCATCCTCAGCTACACTAGTCGGCAGTGGTTCAGATAGAGATAGTGACTCTTTTACCTCCCTTGATCTTCTTGGTTTTACATTTAAGACAAAATGCAATAAAGCTTCTCCATCATGTTCTCACCAGTCTGCAGTTTGGCCTGAATGGGTCAAACTAGTAAAAATGGACAGACTAATTATCTGCAGAGCAAATAACTCACTCACTTGGATATTTGCACTTTTATAAAGAAATCGCAAAGAGTTGCAATGAAATGACATGAAACGCAAAATGATCAACAAGTGAGCTGCTGGGGCTACTCAGCTTAAGTATTATATTATATTATTAAATTGTTTTACGTTTATTAATAATGATAGTAAGTCAAACAATAGTAACAAATAAAATCTAAAATAAATTGTATAAATTCTGGTTTTGTATTTTTTTTTTTTTTTTACATTTAAAAACATTTTTACATTGGTTGTGCCATGGTTTTAAAAATAGTATGGTAATATAAGCCTGTAAAAAAACATTGAAGTATTTGTTTCTTGTTCGTATTGTAAGGCAAATGATGATGCTTGTGCCTTTAACCCAGAAACTGTATAAACATCAAAAGAATCTGAACATGAATTTCCCCTCATGTAAAACCACCGAAACACGAATAGGGAACTTTGCTGTTTAATTTCAGAAGTACATATAGTTGGTGTGTGTTTTACATGTGGATCAGCTGTAATTCAGTTCGAGCGTTTCAGACGATTCTCTAACATACAGTTTGAAATAAGCATTTGTGGAGCTGACATTGAGCCTTTAGCTCCTTAGGAGAAAATGTGTGGGAGGTGTGTGTGTGTGTGTGTTTCATTTTATGTATTTATTCATCGCAAGAGATCATGTATGTTCTCAATTTGTATAAAATTGGTTTTCAATTCCTTTTTCAGTTGACTGTGAATAGGTGTTACTATGGACTTTAAAACTATACAATCTATATAACTGTCTCTGTATATAGCAGTCTCTGTTTTTGTGTGTGTGGAGGAAGGTTCATTTGAATAGTTGCTATGGAAACCAAGTGCTGTTAAAATGAGAGGCAGAGCCAAATAGAGCATCTTAGTCTCTCCTCCCTCTCTTGTTCACCCAGCTGCTGTCCTGCTAGTCTTCTATCTCCCTATCTAGTGCTTATCCTTCCGATCTGCGTGCTTCTCTTTGCTTACCTACTTTTAATGAGCTGATGATTAGAACGCTTTCTCTTTTTCGTCACTGCTCTCCTTCTGTCTCTGCTTCATTTATTTAGTCCTCTAATTTCCTCCTTTTTGTTTTTTCAATTCCGTTTTGCAGTTCCATCTCTATACTTTTCCATTCCCCTCAAAGATTTCTCTCTCTCTTTCTTCCTCCCACACTTTGTCCTCCTCCGTCTCTTCTCTCGTCTGCAGCAGAAGAGAGCTAATTCACAATTAGCATGTGTACCTGCAATTAGCACTGACAAACCTCCAATAATTAGCCTTGTAAAAGCAGTCTTCCTTTTTCAAGCGTGTTTGCTTTGTTTCTGAGCAATGCCTCATTTATGTTGTCCTTTCATCTTTTTGTCCTCCTCTTCACCCACCATGTGTTTCTTCCCCTAATTTTTGTGCCTGTTCTTTAAAGACCCCTTGAAATGTGTTTTGTGGCTGTAAGCTGGCATGTCATTCTGTCTTTTAGCCTCAAAAACAGGCTGCTATTGGTATAATATGCTTTTCCTCACAGAATGGAAAAAGTCACTAAACTTAGCAAACTGTATTTTTTTTAAATATTATTTAAATTTAATTTATATTAGAATCTATTTTAATATGTAATTTATTACTGTGATGCAAAGCTGAATTTTCAGCATCATTACTCCACTGATCTTTCGGAAATGATTCTAATATGCTGATTGATGCTTGAGAAATGTTTCTTATTTTATCCATGTTGAAAACAGTTTACTATTTTTGTGGAAGCGATACATTTTTCAGCTTTTTTTGTTAAAAATAATTTTGAATAAAAAGTTAGAAAGGACGTCATTTATTTGAAATGGAAATCTTTTGTAGCATTATACATGTCTGTCACTTTTGATCAATGTAATGCATTCTTGCTGTATTAAAGTATTATATTTACTGACCCCAAACTTGTGAATGGTAGTGTACTATATGTCCGTGCAAACTTCCTGTTTTAATGGAAAATATGTCTAGATGAAATGAAACGACAATGATCAAGCAGTTTCAGAAATGCCATCATTAACAAACAGATACAAACATATTAGCTAATGACTAACTTGTTCCACACCTCTGCTAATGAAAATGGCTCTAAATAACAAGTGTTTCTCAAAGTCTTCACAGAAAGATAATTGGCAAATGTCAGTCACTGTGTGTGTTGTGTGTGAGTGAATATGCTGTTTGCCGATAAATCAACTTGTATGTTACTCGTCTAATTGCATTTGGTATTCAGTGTACGCACATTACTCTCTCACTCTTTCTCTGTATATACAGTATATAGCTACTCTCTCTCATAGTGCTTCACAGTCATGGTATTTTGAACTCTTTGAGCTAATTTTTAAAGTGCATGTATTTGTGGGCCAGACTTTGTCTACACCGTAGGAACCAAATGTCCCCATAAGGGTCAGAAAATAGCATTAGCTCAGTATAAACAACTGATGTCAATGACAAGTCTCCAGGAGAAAGAAAACCCAGAATGCATTGTGATGCATTCCCCAGCATTGAAAAAAAAAAAACAGTTTGAGGACCAAATGTTATCAGAATTTAGCTAAATATGACAAAATCTCTATTTGGGATGTCATCCATGATTATGGCCGCCAAGGTATGACAGACGCAACTGCTAACTAAGCATTTTAGGACATTTTTGGTACAAAGATTGTTAAGATGAGGATGAATTATGCTTTCCTATGAGAAACTTTGGCCAGATTCTAAAACACAACACATGTGTTTTTTAGTGGATAAAGAAAACCCAGAATGCAGTCTCCTGCATTAAAAAAGTGTGCAATAGCTTGAGGACCAAATTGTTATCAGACAAAACATCCTTTTAGGACCTCTAGGATTGGTATTTAAAGGGGTCATGAACTGCCTTTGTTTTTTATTTTGTACTGTTCTCTAAGGTCCACTTATATGTTTATCAAGATTTTTACACGAAAAAAAAAAAACACTATTTATAAGTAATAGGCTATTTTCTGTCCTGTTTTTGACCCCCCTCATCTGAACGCACTGTTTGAATAGGCGTGGAGGATTGTAGAGTCGGAAGTAAACACCCACTGCTATGATTGGCTTATAGTTGTGTATGTTTGACAGCCTACAACCTTCACAGATAGACGCTGCAGTGATTTAGGTTAAAAACACATAAATACTCATATCAAACGATCTGTAATAACAGACAAAGCAATAGTGACCACGTAATAAAAACAGTTACTCACACTTGTGTGGTGCAACATTACTGTTGGATCCAATATAGCCGGCACAGCGTCGTCTTTTAGTTTAAATTTTTCTGAAAATCCTGTGTCGAATTGTGCTTTGTTTGTAAACAAATCTGTGGTGAAATGAAGTGAACAAAGGACCAAGTTCTTACTGACGTTGTCTGGAACTTTATTCAAAATAAAGTTCATCAACTCTTTCCTAACGTTGGAATCAGAAAGAAGGCAACACAAAGACAATGCAATGCATTTTCCACAACTTGGCACTGCACAGCGTCTTGTTGTCTTCAGAGCCATCTTTATTGTTTGGTTTCTGCGTAGACCTGCATTCACCCCTCTTGTTATTCACACTTCATGAGCAAATGGGTAGGCGGGGCTAAACAGGCAGCGCTGTAGAAGCAGGCGTTGATCTTTTTCTGTGTAGGCGGTGCTTATCCACACTATTACATTACAGAGTGGCACATTCCACAAGCTGTCGTTTTGGCAGATTGGCTTCAATAGAAGCTGTTTTTAGACTAATGACAAAGTTTTGAGTTCTGAAACTTACAGGATGTTTTATTAGTACAGTGACCTCTTATATGTCAAAAGATCAAGGGAATTTTGGTTTCTCAGTTCATGACCCCTTTGAGGGTACAAATAATTCAACTATATTTTTATCAATCTAAAAATTTGATTTGGGGTTTGTCCTACTAATTTTAATTAGCTTTATATATAAATATTAGAAGTGATTTATATGTCCTTAGTTAGAAAAACCTGTGTGTGTGTTTGTGTGTCTGCTGCAAACGACCTCATTTCCCAAGACTGCCTATGTTTCTGTGATTTCTGTCTAACATATGTCAATAATGAAGAGGACAAACCCTTGATATGAGGACACATGCTCTTTTTAAAACCACAGGTCTCTCGTTGGTTTTACTTGCGAACTGCAACTCAACTTTCACCAGTCAAGTTCAAATCATGTGGATTTTGTGAATTCAGCTCCCAAACTGAAGTGCTCTCCCTCTCTCTCTCCTCTCTTTCTCTGTCTGCAGGGACTGTATCTTCACTCCTCCGCCATGCTTGTCAGCCTCCACCTCTCCTCTTCCCCTTTCTCCGACCGTCGCGTCCTGTCTTTTGTCTCCCTGGCTTCTTCCTCCAAACCGCCCCTCTCCCTCTCGCTCCTTCTCCTCTCTCTCTTCTTCTTCCCTACCTGCGAGTCTCGCCGTGGAGGCGGGATCGGGACGCCCATCGGGGGCATGAGCGGCGGCGAGCGCGGCCAGTCGATAATCAGCCCTCCTCATTATCCGCCACCAGGAGTCAATCCAGTGGGTCCTCCATTGCCACCAAAGTTTGCTCAAGGCCTTAGCATCGCAGTGATCCTTGTGGGAAACTCCAGCGAGGTGTCCCTCTCTGAAGGTCTGGAGAAAGAGGACTTCCTCCACGTGCCTCTCCCTCCGAAAGTCGAACTGGTCACGATGAACGAAACCGACCCGAAGAGTATCATAAACCGCATCTGTGCTCTGATGTCACGGAACTGGCTCCAGGGTGTGGTGTTTGGGGACGATACCGATCAGGAGGCCATCGCCCAGATATTGGACTTCATCTCAGCTCAGACGCACATCCCCATCCTGGGCATCCGTGGAGGCTCTTCCATGATCATGGCAGCCAAGGTATGACAAACGCAACTGCTTCATAGACATTTTAAGACATTTGAGGTACAAAGGTTAAGATGAGGACAAATTATGCTCTCCTATAAGAAACTTTGGCCAGATTCTACACATGCCCAACGTTTCTTGTAGGAGAGCGTATTTGCTTGTAAATTTACTTTACACTTTACAATAAGACTGCATTAGTTAACTATTTAAAATTAATTATGAACAACAGTTATACAGCTTTTATTAATCTTAATGTAAATTTCAACTTTTACTAATATTCATAATAAACTGTATTTGTTAAAGGGATATTTCACCCAAAAATGAAAATTCTGTCATAAATTGCTCACCCTCATGTCATTCCAAACCTGTAAGACCTTCGTTCATCTTCCGAAAACAAATTAAGATAATTTTAATGAAATCCGAGAGCTTTCTGACAGATTTACTAAACAAGGCAATTTAATTTGAGACCGATATTCCATAAAAGAGCAGATGGGAGTGGAAAGTTCTGCAAGTGATCTACTGACAAGAACACAGACACAGCCAGTGCATTATCATAATGACCAACGCAATCTATCAAGAGCAGTGCAAATTAGCATACGGTGAATGACAATCAGGTGCAGGTAATCTAGTAACAGTACAGGCGCAAAATGGGTTAAGACATGTATTTTGAAATGAAAATTCTGTCATTAATTACTCACCCTCATGTCATTCCAAACCAGTAAGACCTTAATTCATCTTCAGAACACAAATTAAGATATTTTTGATGAAATCCGAGTTTTCTGTCATGAACGCACATTGAAGACTGACACGGAAGAGAAGAAATTGTTGAATAAAGTAATTCTTTCTGTTTTCTTAATGTACAAAAAGTATTCTTGTAGCTTCATAAAATTACGGTTGAACCACTGGATTATTTTAATGATTCCTTACTGCCCTTCTGGGCCTTGAACGTGTCAGTTGCTTTGCTGTCTATGCAGGGTCAGAAAGCTCTCTAATTTAATCAAAAATATCTTCATTTGTGTTCCGAAGATGAACAAAGGTCTTATGGGTTTGGAACGACATGAGGGTGAGTAATTAATGACAGAATTTTCATTTTTGGGTGAACTATCCCTTTAACTAATGTTAACAAATGAGTCCTTATTGTAAAGTGTTAATATTTATTCTAACATAATATTTGTTTTGGGTCAGTAAGATTTTTATTTATTTATTTTTTAAAAGAATTTCTTACTTTTATTCAGAAAGAATGCACTGAACTGATCAAAAGTGATAGTGAAGGCTTTGTAAATTACAAATTCCAGTTCAAATAAGTTTATTAAGTCTTTATAACTATTAATCAAAGAGTCCTGAAAATAACAAAACAAAAAGAAGACTGGAGTAATGAAACAAAGACTGGAGTAATGGCTGCTGAAAATACAGCTTTGCCATCACAAATATGAATTCCTTTTTTAAAATACAGTATATTACAATATAAAGCAGTTAAAAAAAATATTTAATTTAATATGAATAAATATTAAAACAATAACTTATTTTGATATGTTGTTTTACTGTATTTTTGATCAAATAACTAGCCTTGGTGAGCATAAGAGACCTTTCAAAAACATAAGATCTTACAGACCCCAAACTTTTGAATGGTACAGTAGTATATACAGTATGTGAAGTATAGAACATGTGTGTGCATGAATTAAACCACCCTGAAAAATACCATTATTTCGAGTGATTTTAGAAAATGCAGTAAAATTGATGTTAATGTTATTTTTGGATTTTATTGCTGATATGTAATGTTAATGAAATGTATGCCATTGAAATCTCCAGTTCTGAAGATTGAAGTCTTTCTCCATTCACATAGATATGACCTGTATTGACTTTAACCATGATGGTCACTAGAGAACCAATCATACAAGACACTGTACCGCCCACAAAGACGGTTACTTATCGTGTCCTGCCATAAGTTGTAGAGCATTTCAGAGCATTTTTAATAGGATGCTTTAAAAGTAACTGCCTGTGTAGACAGTAGACTCACTAGGGTTTGGAACAGAGCCACACTGTCTACTCTTTTTCCCGTCAACGTCTTCCATTCTCACATGAATATTCATACACGTACATCCACATGTTCGTCTCTTTCTCTTTCTTTTCCGCCAAGGTCAGAGTTGTGTAGCAGGTGTAACAGACTTGAGCCTGCTGTTAAGTCAGTGGAGGTCTGAACTGCTGGAAACAGATGTGATGGAATACATAGTGCTGTGTACTGTCTGTGCTGTCGTTAACTACCTGCAATGTGCTTCATTAAGATGACTGTGTTTGAGAGAGGCGGAAGAAAGGGAGAGAAAATAATGGCGATGCAGATTTGTTTTTCAAAAGACACTGTTTTTTCTGGCCAATAAGAAAGAAGGTAATAAAAAAGATGAGACTGAGAGAGAAAAGTGCAGAAAGAGAAGGAAATGTCAGAGGGTCTTTTTTTTAAAATGACACAGTGAAAAACAGGGAGTCAAGTACATTTATTTTGTCATCTTGGAGAAAAGGAAAAACAGAAGAAGACAATAACTGCAGACACTTTCAGTGTTAAATACACCGTGCAAACAAATATTACCTAAAATTTAACACAACATTCTCAAGCTTTTTACAGCTGCATGCATAATCACGGCTGTCCCAAGGAAACCTATTTTAGCAGTTTTTGGGAACTCGGTACATCACTCTGAGTGTTTAAAGGGGCAGCCATTACTGCTGAAAGATGGTGGTAAATCAATGACCCCCGTCTTGAACAGCCTTTGTTTTAATGGAACAGGTTCCATTATATTTATCAAGAGGGACACTATTCATCCAACTCACACTGCAGGATATTTCCAAGAACATGCAGCTCAGATCAGTTTTCCTGATTGGTGCTTCTTTGATGTTTATGGCTACAGATGTGTCAAGATCTTGTTACAGGGTTTTTGCGCTTGATATTAACGGAAAATTGAAAAGTGAACAGAGGAAGTGATACTTTTTCACCAGGGATTTGGACCAATTCAGGGCATCTTGAGTCAAAATTTTAATGACCAACTCAGAATATCAGATATATCGGACTGTTTGAGACAAGGACTGCCAGTCATAAAAAAATTACATTAGTTGTTCAGAATATTCACAATTTATCATGTACTGTATTTATATCAAAATGAAGAAATTCATATGAATTCATAAAAACTACATTATTTTGGAGGATGAAATCACTGAACAGACAAAAGTGGCTTTCATATTATTGAACATAAGCTTATCACAAGTCTGTAGTCCAGTGTTTTTATTAACTAAAACTAAAACGAAAACTATTAAACATTGTTTTATTGAAATAAAGCTGAAATAAAAAAAAAAAAATAGATGAGATGAAAAAGTTTAAGTTTAAAACACTTGACCAAAAATTAGAAATATTGCCTTGGCAACCAAATGAAATAAGTTGAAGGTGAAATACTAAAATTATTAAAATTGAAATAAAAATACATTTTAAAATAAAATAGTTGAAATAAAAATGAATGCTAATTCTAAAAAACTAAAAACAAATAAAAAGCACAACAAAATTACTAAAATGTAAAGTAAAATTAAATTAAAACAGAAATTTAAAAAAGTATATATCATTTATTGTTGTAAATTATATATAAATAATTCTAAAATAACACTGCTATAGTCACAATCAAGCTAGACTTAAGGGCCGTGTTCTTGTATTATGTTTATGATTTTCTATTATTTAATTAATAAATCAACCAGAATTAATTGCCTAATGACCCATGATTTTTCCCATGATGCTGTAGTGTGACCTGAAGTAGGTCATGTCTTCTAAAGTGGACTCGAGTTGACTTGAACTTGGAAAATACAATTACTAACTTTTTAATTGTGTGACTTTTATGTCTCCCATTAATTTTAGATGTACAAAGATCCTGTTTAAACGCATTGGGAATGTACAACTCGTCTGTCAGCAATCTCTTTGTTCTAGATCTATTTTTTGCCATATCTGCAGGCTGTTACAAGGAGAGGAGCTCTTTTTAGTGTTGGTGTAGGGTTGTTAAAACACGCCACATCCTCTCGTAAGCCACTGAGGAGCTCGATAAGGGGCTAATTGAATTAGCGGAAACATTTTACCATGCTCGATGCCTTTCCATCCAACCACACATACATAAACGCACTGTTATCTTCGTTTTATGACTCTTTTTTTCTTCCCAAGAGCAGTGGAGTGGATGGAGATCTTTAGATTTACATTATATGCATGCAGAAATGACAAAAGAGAAATCATCTAGTGTACGTGCATAAGCCATTATGAGGAATATTAGGACTTGTTTCTAATTCTGTGACTTTACCCCTTGACACCATAATCAGTTGGAGTCCATCCACCCTGCTAACTCTAGGCGAGCGATGCGCTGGCTTATCCGTTCCGTGTGCTTTACCCAGTGTTAATGGGGAGTCATAGGAGCGCTGGGATACTTAACGAGCGCAGCCACACTGCTAATTTCATGCTTAATGGGAACACACGCCTCTCTCACTGGCACACGGAAGCATTAGATGTGCATGTCGTATTTAGCTGGGACAGTTTAGACAGGGACTGTGTTGTCAAATCACTCATCAGATGCACCTGCCTGACCGGTTCATGCAACACATTCACTCACGTGTACTTTGGGATACACACACACATCGTGAGAGAGAGAGCATTCTGCATTTGCATTTTTAGTCATTTGTGCCTTTTATATGCCACAACTGTCCACTTTTTTTTCAGATGTTTTATTTAATCTGTTAGTGTTGTGTGTGTTGTTGTGAATCCGCATGAATGCATTTTTGTATTTGTGATAATTTGAGTCTGTTATTCTGCAACATTGATTTACAACACAGCGGGTTTCACGAGTTCGCCCTGAAAATCTGGGATACAATCTAACCTAATACATTATATTTAAACTTGGAAATGAATGGAAAATATATATGAAAAAGGAAACTTTTTTGTTTTTATAAAAAATGTATTCAGTAATTTAAAAAGATTAATAAACATTTAATTTTAAAAGAAAATC